CCTGGTGGATGGAACTAGTCCAGTTAATACCTATTTCTGTTCTTTAATTGATCTATAATCCATTGTCTGTTTCGCGATTCTGCAATACTTCAATCTATCACTGGGTTTGAACTTTGGCTTTGCGTCGTGCTGCGTGGCAGATTTCCAAGGAAATAAAAGAAAATTGTGCGAGGCTCCTTGTTACCAGCATAATCAGTTCGCATTGAATCCTTTTCTCGCCGATTCTTCGCAAAGCGTGAGCAAAATAGGTAATCCTTGGAACGATGTTCAGAGTCAAAACGTAGGTTCCCTCTCGCGGATTTTGCGCCTATTCTATTCAGTACCATCTTTGAGATGCAGTTAACACAAATAGGGTCCCAAATATTCACTGCATAAGATTTCATTCTCAGAGTAACACAAGAGCCCCTGGTTTGTTTTCGATTATTTCGTTGCTTAGTACCTTCTTCAGCAAGAAACTCTTCTTTAAGTAGGGCCACTTTGAGTAGGGGATGCGGCAAGAAAATTGATTTGCCGCGCCAGTGGGCTCCGCGTGCGACGTCGCGCCTGCTATGACGACGATTTTTGGTGGTATTGGTCGAGAATAAAAAACCAAAAATTGTTTTAAGCGTGTATCATGTCTTTGTGAGGCGGAGGTGGTGTAGTGACAAGTGGCGCGCTTACCACTCGCGCGGCGCCGGGTTCAAATCCCGGGTCGACTCCCGCCCAGGCCAACCAAGCCTTCTACCCTCCGGGGACGGTAAATTGGTACCAGATTCGTCTGGGAGGATAAAACACTGACTTGTACATCGGCTGGCCACCGCAAGTCATTGTATAGGCCACATCGCATTCAATAAGCCACTACGATTCTGAATGGAAGTAGAATGCGTGCCGCATCCCACAAAGGGATTGATCAACGGCGAAGACTTTATCCTTTATCCTTTTACCATGTCTTTGTGTACATGAAATCCGATGCTCCAATCAAAGGTTAGTGCAAATTAAGGAAACGTCGCGCCCATTGCCGCGCGCGACAAAGCGGCAATATGCTATTCTCTTGATCAACTCCCCATTCAATGTCTAGACAAAGAGTAGACGCTGAATCAGCTTCCCACTCGGGTCTGCCTTCTTTTACGGTTCACCAGCCGTCACGGATGCCCCGTGTGAGGCTTCGTGGGAAGAACTTAGGTATACCACCCTCTCCAATCCTCCTGTTAGTCCGGATGCACAGGGACGGTCACTGCATCTCATATCGGAGGCAGACCCAAGTGGGAGGCTGATCCACTTTCTACCCAAAGCCGTGCTGATGGACGTGTTTCAGCTCGCTGAAGAAGGTACCGAAATTCGGAAACAAACCGGGGATTTTAGTTCTTTTAAGAAATTCGAGTCCTTGTGCAGTGACTATTTTGGGAGGCTTTTTTGTGTTACGACGTTCAGATATGTTGAGGCTCTGAGACAGCACATTATCAGGAATAAGTCTTTATTTTATTGGTGGGGAAGGGCTCACTAGTGAGCACAAGCTCGTTCTGTATGCCCGATCAATGCATGCGCCTACTAGCTGCCGAGTTGCCCTTCATTTGCACTTTACGCGCCGCTTTGATCTTTGAATTCCTCAGCGAGCTAACCAAAGAACATGTTGTGACTGTTGAAAAGCGGAATGGATTCATCTTTCATCTATAATTCTTTAGTGTGAACATATCCGCGTAAATATACGTCAAATCCCTAGGATGCGGAGGCGTGGCTAAGTGTTTTATTGGAAAGTGACGATAGCTGCGCCGTTCCTGGGATATCTCCCTAGTAACAATGTCTTTGTCCAAAAGGAAGGTAAGATGTCACTTGTCTCTGATTGCGGTAACAGGCGTTCAAAACAGTGGCTCCCGCCCAGGCCAACCAAGCCTTCTACCCTCCGGGACGGTAAATTGGTACCAGATTCGTCTGGGAGGATAACACTGACTTGTACATCGGCTGGCCCCCGCAAGTCATTGTATAGGCCACATCGCATTCAATAAGCCACTACGATTCTGAATGGAAGTAGAATGCGTGCCGCATCCCACAAAGGAATCGACCATCGGCAAGGACTTCACGGTTTACCCTTTTTACTATATCCTACTCCAGGTTCAAGAGAAGTGCGCAGCCACGAAGAGAGTCCTAGCGCTCAAGCAAACGTAGGCGTTTTTCCTTGGGCAAAAAGTCTGGATCCAACCTCTGATTTTATGCCACTTTCGCGGCTTCACAATAGGTAACGGACGCGCTCTGCTTTTAATAAATAGCAGAACTGACGCATCCTTAGTTGCCTCGCCCACCAAAACTCAGAGGCTTTGTTTGCGTCCAAGTTCAGTTTCTACTCGTGCTTTTCATTTTTTCTTTGTTGGATGATAGTAGCATTAGATGACACAGAAGCGATTGAGTCACAGGCAGTATATCGCTTTGGTGGCATAAAACGAGCAGGTCCGGAGAACTCGCCCAGAGAAGCTGGCAGGTCAACTTAAGGTGTTCTCTTTCGCGTTTTCCTCCATGTAGGATCATTCAAGGGCTTTGGTTTGTAGCTGGACGCCGCTATCCACAACCTTCTGTCGCGAAGTTTTTATTTAAATAGTGTAGGCTAACAAAGTGGTGCAATGACAGACCGAGAAATTAGACAGTTTCTCTTTTTCCTTTTGTGACATTCTTCTATATTGTATGATTTTCAGGAAAGATCCGCTTTCCTTAACCACTACTGCTCAGACTATTTTTATGTCTTCATGGGCTCTTAGGCTTGAAACGATCGATTGCGACTTTCCAATTGTGGCGTGTGAGCATGCCCTTTTGGTGCTTGTTGTTTTTATATAAGCTCAAAGGAGGTGTTTCTCGGTCTTCTAGCGCGCTCGCCGCTCGCTTTTCACCTCCTCGCTTCGCAACTCTGTTTCCTATTCGTCGTGCCGCTTGCGATCTACGGGGTAATTTTTTTGTTCACTGCGACAGAAGGCGTTCTTTGCTGCCATTGCTCAACCAGATTCGCATCATGTGACGGTGTGTTGTCGGCATGGCCGACTCATTCCGTAATCAGATTTTGCACTAAATTGCTGCACTTATTTTCATTTTCATTTTTTTGGATCGATAATGTGTGGAACGGTTATGGTGGCAAATCACATTAACGAAATCATCAGCTATGTATCATCCCGATTTCAGTGCCATTAACATCCACTAATCCGCCCATGCGTCACGTTTGAGTGTTTATTAACTTTCTTATCAATGATATTACATTGCCTACACTAAAAAATGACAGAAAAACTCCCGCCAGGTACGCCTTTTTTTCCGTTCTTCTTCTACTTATTTTTTTCGGTACTACTCCACCGCTACTACTCTAGAGACCCAAAAATTTTTCGTCGAAACGTTGCCTATGCGGGTGTCTGGTATCCTGGTCATGAATATGACACTCGTTTGGACGCTGGCGCCATTTGGCGCCATTGAACGCCAATTTAGCTCCTACACTTTTCTCATGTAAACTGGCATACTTGGGTTTCCGATGCCCTGATCGCGAACATGACATTCATTTTTGCCCTGGCGTTATTTGGCGCCATTGGCCGCCATTTTGGCATCATGCTTTTTTCCTCCAAAATCGACGAAAGTTTGCAAAATGGTGTTGTTTGATGAACTTATCACGGATACGGCTCTTATTTTCCGATTTAGCACTCTGGCAAGGCTGAGCCTGGGAGAGGGGTCGATTTCTTTCTGGCCAGGTTTAGCCTTAACAGGGAGCAGATCGTATCCTTCGTTAGCGCCAGCGCCAAGAATGAATGTCATATTCGTAATCAGGATGTCAAGTAATCCCGCGTACAAGTTTTAATCGGTTTTGGTGGTCGAAGGTATTATGACGTCGACTTGTGGCACGGGCGCCAGGCGGATGTGATTTTCATGTTCAGGGGTCGAGCTACTCTTAGAAATGCATTTTCATCCAGGCGTCGTATAAAAAAGCGATAACAGACTGGCCGGATTTTGGTAGTAATAGCTAGTAAATAGTGCCCGCTTTTCCACATTGTCGTAGGTAACTTCGCCGCGTTCCAGGAACTTTATGTGTGGTGTGCGAGGACATTGCCACTGGAAACCACTACTCTGTTCCATCCTGTAATGGATGTAAAACGTTTTTTCGTCGTGCGGTTGTGGTGAGATTTCTAATTGATTCTTCAAAGAAAGCTTACTTCCATCTGCCATTTTGCCCTTACATTTTATCATTTTCAGAATAATCGAATGTTCACTTGTATGGGGAATGGTGATTGTCCTGTTAACAAAGGTAGGAGAATTCAAAAAAATTGATCTCTGAAAGAGCGCTGATAACCTCTAAAAGGGCATTTGGAAGACTCCTCGTGCGAGTTGGTTAACTGGTAACGGCATCCGATTGAAAGCTAGAATTGGTTCACACTTGAAGCTTCTTATCCTTACTGGCTTGGAAAGAATTCCTTATCTCCGTTACGGTGATTCGAATTTTGCAGAAGGGGTCCCTCAAGTGCTTTCCAAGGATAGCCTTCCAAAGGCTGCTCGAAGTCTGCAAAAGTATACTTTTCTCTTCGGAAGAATGATTCACTTTGAATATAGAGGTCGTATGGATGCAGGCTTACTATCGGGGATCAGGTACTAAAGGGGTTCCGAGCGAGTAAGGTGCGGTCTGCAGGCAGGTCCGCCTGTGCATGCCGTGAGGAGCACTGGTTCCGTCATGGCCTTCGGATGGGGAGGAGAGTGCGACCATTGTAAGTATCCATGCATGGAGACCGCTAGAGATAGTTAGCATTCCTGTTGCAGAACATTCGTAAGGCGGAGAAGACTTGCTTACGGTGTCTTTAATTCCAGGTATGGAAAAATATTTGCAAATTATGTGGTGTACTGAATAGGGATGGTCCATCTTGGGGCGACGACTCGGTCTGAAACTTTAAGGAATAGTGACACGAGTGGGCAACAGCTTTTCAATTATAGTGAGCTTATGGATGTTCGAAATGTTCGGCGCGTGGTTCTGGGTGAACGGATTTGTCCTATAAGTTTGCGATTCCTTCCCGAGACAGTCCATAAATCAGAGACGGGTAGGCTAGGATAGGCATAAACTAGTTGGCTAAACGTCCATATCATGCTAGGGCAAACCGTTCGTTCCGAAGTAGTCCATCGTGACTGCGTAGGCCCGCGGGCAATAGGTGCCTCGAGGTCCGTTGACATTCGTTTCAACCATGGGAATCTTGTTGGTTAAGAGGAGCGCTTTTATCCACTACTACAATCCCACTTTGTTAGCCCTGAGGCAGCGCTAGGATTCGGCAATGATCCGCATCGTCTCGCTACTTGTGCAGTGGCGTTCTGATGCCATAGACGGTCGCTAGTGCCTGTATAGGAGGCTATGCGTATCCTAGCTGCACTGTCTGGTACTCTCCGATACTTCTATATTATTGAAGCAGTAGCGGCTAGCACTCATGGTTGCGTTCCCATCTGTAGCACTGGAGCGCTATTGGGACGGTAGCGCGACAACGCGTGCCGTGGAAGTTTGGACGCTGTTTTAGAAACGAAAGAGATTTTTCAACGAGTCTTGTCTTTCATTTTCGTTACTGCTGAAAGCTGCTGAGTCGTGTCGTTAAAGACAGCCCCCGCGCTCGAGTAGTACATGGTCGGTACATCGTACAGTACATGGTCGTCCTTCCTTGTGCAAGTAGTACAGCCCCCAAGCTAGAGACTGTCCCACTCTATTCGTCTGCACAGCGAGCGAGAAGCGAGCTACAGCCGCTGTAAGTTCTAGTTCTAACGCCTGCTCAGTTGGACCGCCTTACTTGCTAGATGTCCTCCGACGGAGGCCACTCAGTTGTTCTTAGTCGGGGCGGCGGGCATTGCTAATGCCCATGGATAATTCTGCTCCCTTTATTACAGTTTACTCATTGGAGGTATATACATTCAATTCAACTCATTTCGCGAGGTGAAACGCGTAAAAAGCACGAGTGACGCAATTTTCGTGATGCAAAACCTCGACGCACAAAACGTGCGCTACCGTAATCCCAAATTCAGACACCGCGTTGATAAAATTCCTTTTTCCTTCCAAGAGTTTTTCCTCTGCGTTTTTGTTGTTTTCTTTTTGTATTCTTTTTTTGCACTGGATGATATCAACTACTGCGAGATGTGATAGAGAGATTTGTGAGCTAGGGGTTGCACAGAGACCGCAGGGAGGTGTGACTGTGAGGGAGCGAAAAAGAAAGAAT